TCCACCGACTTAGGGCCCCACCTCACGTGCCTGCTTGCGCAGTCCCACGAAAATGCGAATATCTCTCTATTCTGAAGTCGTATGAATGAACGGTTTGATGCGTTGGAAACTAGACTCGTAGACCTTCGATTCGATAGTTTGTGGACCCATAAATCTTTATAGATTGGGAGAAAACCTCCAAGACATTTGACCCAGATTTCAGAGAAATCTTTAAGAAGGAATTTACGGTAACTTTCGCCAACTTTTATTTTGCCACTTACCTAGCTTCAAACCTTGAGATACAACACTTGAACACTTAAAATATCACATAACACATCATTTTTAATTTATTACTCACCCTCTTTGTCTTTCCATGAAGATACGAGTTAATTTAGACGTTTTGAAAAGTCGGGGTGTTACAGGAACCTTCCTAGAACCTGGAAGTCATGAGGACAAAGTTGTTTAATGAGATAAATACAAGTCCCAAAAATGGGCCACAATAAGCCGTCTAGAAGGCAAAAGACAAGCTAACATAAGTACAGGAGGAGACAGGCTGACCCAGAACGCCAAGTGCTCACTCTCATCTCCGATATCCACAAGTTGCAAAAGACGGCACGAACGATCACCGTTGGTAGCTGGTACCAGAACCTGCATCGCGAAAAGATGCAGAGTGTAGCATAAGTACAAAAACAAGGTACTAGTAGGCATTACATGATGACTGAGCAAGAAAGGTAAAACAATCTGAAAAGATAGAATCTAGACAAAAATAGAGGTCAAAGAGAATATGAAAAGAAGCACACGGGCGTACCGAAAGTAAATCTAAGTATAGATAAACTAAACCTAACTGATCTTCATAAGCTCAAAAGGTACACTCATGCGCAAGTTAAAATAAAACCCGAACAGACCCCCATAAGCCCGAAAGGTACGGAGAATATCTCGGACTACAAGAATAAGATACTCAAACCCAAATCCAAAAAAAGTCAATCGGGCTCGAATCCATAGTGATAGGATCTGGGCCTCGAACCTAAAGTGGTAGAATCTGGGCCTTGAACCCAGAATAATAGAATCTGGGCCTCGAATCCAATGTGATAGAATCTGGGCCTCAAACCCAAAGCATCAGTCTCAATTTGGAAATAACTGCCTCAAACCATAAAACATCAGCCTCAAACTGGAAATAACGCCCTTGAACCGTAAATAATCACTGCAACCAATCAACTCATAACCTATCTAACAAGAGTGCAAAAGGTGTGTCAATTCCCAGGAGAATCCCATGTCAAGTCAAGTCACCGTGGGACGTCGCCCACCTAAAGGTATCAATAAAAGGCTCTCATCCTAGTAGATATCAATCTCCAATCGTCGCAATAGCATAAACCTCCGATAATACCTCATAACCGCAAAAATAGGGAGAGAGAGGATAAAAGATCTAATAAGCCACAAATTCACCTAAGCTAAGGCTCGTACTATCAGACTCAAGTTTGCTATTCCGATTTACAAGGATCTAGTTTGTACGAAATGACGTCGGAGACGAAGCAAAGCAACAAAGTTTGAGAGTCTAAGGCAACACTGATCTATCCTAGGAAAGGCTAGACAAGCATCATTAAACAAGTAAATTCAAGTAATTCACATAGCATACACAAACCCTAATCACCCAATTAGCAAGGTACTATCCCCGAAGTAATGTCGATCAAATCTAAAACATGGTATCTAAGAAGAGAGGTAAGAGTATTAGGTTCCCACCCCAATTCACACTAATCAACATGAGTTCACACATTAAGGCTAAATCTCAATAGAAAGGAAATCGTAGCCTAACTTTAGACCGACCGCGCATGCTCCAAATCACTTCACCAGAGCTTTTCCTTTCCGAACGGCCTTTGAATGCTGCCACGCAAAATTGAAGAATGTCCAACACTCCTTGAACACTCTAAGATGTAGCCTCGATAATTCTCGATATATAGGACTTCGAATCACCCAAAACTAAGCTCAAACGATGTGCATTCAGCAACTTTCGATCATTATACAGCGAAGCCACCGCAAAAAATGAAGCTTACACACTTCGAATCACCTTATTTGGCGAAGAAATGAGAGAGATATGGGGTTTTGAAGTTTCCAAAATGAGCTGATATTTCTACTATATATGCACCAGCGTTCAACATTTTTTTGAAAACTTAAAAACTCTGACGGGGTGTTTCAAACTCATTCAGAGCCCGCTGTATAAAAACGAGATATGAAACCACATCAAATTTGATATACCGGACTCAATGGTGCAATTGAAATTTCAATACGAGGTCATCTTGACAAAAAGTGAGTTCCACATCCAACCACCATTTTAAGTCAAAATCTAGGAAGGGACTGTGGATTAGTTCGGAATCCTTGGGATATGAACGAAGGGTCAATCTAGACCAAACTCAATATTCTGGAGTTAACCATGCTGACAAAATTCTTATCTGAGTGCATTTACTCAGAATGTTGACTAAAGTCAAACTTATGCTTACACTTTAAAGTTAAAACACCTAATCGCACTGAGTCACACTGAAAACCTCAAGAGTCATGATGACCATGATACTAGCCTATAATGACCTTTCTGGGACCTTATGGAATTGTCAGAATAAGATTCTAAAGTCATCTTCCTAAATTTTTGATAAAAAGTTACCATTCAAGGTTCAAAAGCTCCCAAAACACTAAAACTTGCATAAAAACCAAATGAACGACCAGGTGGTCGAACTATCACTCCCAACAAGTCATAAATGACTTAGGGTCACTATAAGAAAGCTCTAAATTACAAAAAGGAGGCACAAATATAGAAATGACATAAAGGTCATTACAAGGGAGGTATGGTCCCCGTGAACCCAAATGTGGGTACGCTGATAACTAGAGTGAGAAAGTTCACTAAAATGAATCCTCCGGAGTTTCATGGTTCCAGGGTTGAGGAAAATCCTCAAGAGTTCATTGATGAGGTGTATAAGGTGTTGATGATCAAGGGACTAGCGCTGGTGGAAAAGGTAGAATTGGCCGCTTATCAACTTAAGGGTGTTGCTCAAGTTTGATTCAACCAATAAAAGGAAGAGAGGGTGGTTGATGCGGGTCCTCTTGATTGGGAAAAGTTCAAGGTTACTTTCCTTGATAGGTTTTTTTCCCTTGAGATGAGGAAGGCTAAGGTACTTGAATTCATCAACCTTCTTCAAGGAAATATGAGTGCGAATGAGTAGTCCTTGAAGTTCACGCAATTATCTAGATATGCTCCTACTATGGTTGTCAATCCTAGGGCAAGGATAAGTAAGTTTATTTTGGAAGTGTCCGAGATGGTGGTTAAAAAATGTCGTACCGCCATGCTCATCCATGATATGGACATTTCTTGTCTAATAGTTCTTGCTCAACAAATAGAATAAGAGAAACTTAAGGAAGGATCTAGGGAGGAAAAGAAGGCAAGGACCGGTGATGGTGACTTTTCACATTCAAGGTCTGATAGACATGGTTGTTCTAAGTTCCGACAAAGGTTTTCTGGTTAAGATTCCTCCAATGCTCCGCCTCCTAAATTCAACAAAGATAGGGTGTCTGACCTTAAGCCTTAGAGAGGAAATGGTGGTGGATCTTCATTGTCTATTTGTGCTAGATGTGAAAGAAAGCATGAGGGTATATGTCTAGTCAGTACCAATACATGTTTTGGTTGTGGAAAGATAGATCATAAGGCAAGGGACTGTCCTTTAGTTGTTAAGGATGAATGATATAATCGTCGATGAGCTCAACCTTACCCTTCGTCAGGTTCTAGTGGAAGTTAGAAGCAAACAAATTTTATGCACTTTAAACTCGTCATGAGCAAGAGGGTTCTCTCGATGTAGTTACCAGTATGTTGAAAGTCTTTCATCTGGATGTTTATGCCTTGCTTGATCCCGGTCTTGTAACACCCCTAAATACTAACCAAGAGTCGCATGTCGATTTACCGTTGCTTAATTACTAGAATATGTTTTAGTCTCATTTTGAGAACTTGAAATGCTGTGATAATTGCTAACTTGCTTAACATAAATTGTGATCGTAATTTAAGGGATTGTGATGGAGTGTTTAGGTAATATTCTAATTAGAATTATGTATAACTTTAAAATGAGGTGAAGGATATATATATATATGTGTATATGTATTCTTTTTGGGCAACACATAATTTTTTTGGGCTGCACCTTTGAAGGACAGCTGCCCAAGTGATAAACATCACTTGTTTGACTATATATTTTCACACCTTCTTTAGTAAATTCATTTTCCTCAAGTCTTAGATCCTTAGAAACATATCTAACAGATTGTTCTTCAAAATCATAAGAGAAAAACCTGGCCCTTTTGGCTGGAATTCGAGACACACACTTCTTTTTGGTAAGTGACGAAATCTGTTTCTGAGCTGGGTAGTGTTTGGTAAGTGACGAAATCTATTTAGAAAATACCTTGATATGTTGTGAATGTGTTTATTGATAATATCTTGATTTACTCAAGGAGTGAAGATGAGCATAACGATCAATTAAGGATTGTGTTGCAAGTCCTCAAGGACCAACAACTCTTTGAAAATTTTAGTAAATGCGAGTTTTGGTTAAGATCTGTGGATTTTCTAGGTCACATTGTCTCCGACAAGGGTATTGAGGTAGTTCCTAATAAGACAGATGCGGTTAATAGTTGGCCTAGACCTCTATTCCCTTCGTATATTAGAAGGTTTTTGGGTTTGGATGGTTACTATATAAGGTTTATGGAAGGGTTTTCATTGATTGCCTCTCCATTGACGGCATTGACCCAAAAGAAAGTTAAGATCTTATGGTCGGAAGCTTGTGAGAAGAGTTTTCAGAAATTGAAAGATAGACTTACCTCCGCTACAGTGTTGACTTTACGAGAAGGGTCAGATGGGATTGTTTTTTATTGTGACACCTCAAGAATTGGGTTAAGATGTGTCCTTATGCAAAATAGGAAGTTCATTGCCTATACTTCAAGGCAACTTAAAATTCATGAAAAGAACTATCCTATCCATGATTTGGAACAAGAGGCAATTGTGTTTGCTTTAATGATTTGGAGGCATTACTTATATGGTGTCCATGTTGATGTCTTCACTGACCACAAGTGTTTACAACACGTGTTTAAGCAAAATGATCTAAATCTTCACCAAAGGAGGTGGCTTGAGTTACTAAAAGATTACGAAATGAGTGTCCTCTATCACCCTGACAAAGCGAATGTAGTGGCGGATGCTCTTAGTCGGCTATCAATGGGTAGTGTTACCCATGTGGAAGAAGATAAAAATGAGTTGGTTCATGATGTTCATAGATTGACGTGATTGGGTGTTCAGTTGGTTGACTTCACCAAAGGTGGTGTTACGGTTTATAATGATTCAAAATTGTCTTTTGTGTCAGATATAAATGCAAAGTAGAGTCTTGATCCAATTCTGATTGAGTTGAAGAAAGTGGTACTTAAAAACTTCGTTGAGGCTTTCTCCCAAGGGGGAGATAGAGTGTTTTGATATCAAGGTCGTCTATGTGTTCCCAATGTAGATGACTTGAGAGATCAAATCTTATCAGAAGCCCAAAGTTCTTGATATTCCATCGACCCGAGAGCCACCAAGATGTACCGTGACTTGCGAGAGGTCGATTGGTAGAATGGGATGAAGAAGAATATTGTGGAATTTGTGA